TTCCACAATTTTTGAATTTGAAGCAACAATCGCGCTTTCCACACGACGCGGAGGAAAATTGGAAGGCTTTCCACAAAAACGGCGATTCTAGGATCGAGTGATCTAGGGAATTATCGATCCCTGCTATGGGTTCCCTTAGGTCACTCCGGTTGCCCCCAGAGTTGCTGTTGGTCTCTGTATTTACCCCATGGGTGCCAATAGGTTCCCATGAAATCTTCAAGGGAACCTATTGGCAATTCATGGGCCCCTATGAGCATTTTTTGACCGAGCCCTGATTGGCCCTTTATTGGACCCTCTCTTTGAGCCTTTATTGGGAGTTTTTTTTTTAGGGGGGGTCCACTCATGAATGGACATCTACTCTTTTTTACCAAAGCACCAAAAAAATTGGTTAGAAGTTAATTTTGAAGTGGAAACACATATCAATATGCTTAAATTCGTACCTTGTCTAAAGGTCCATTTCATTACATCAATTGAAACCCTGCAGCCTTTCCCACATGATCAAATCAGACCTTGAAATTGTCACGGTCAAACTTTGAAGAACTCTGATTGGTGCTCAAGCTGAATTCATTGCATGACTTCGACAATTTAACGACCTGATTTGATCGTGCGAGAAGGGCTTTTTTAAGTAGATCTACGGTTTTTGCTAAGCACGGCATGCATGGCAGAACACACACATGGTCCCTCGGGCCGGAATACTGCCGTGCTAAGAAAGAATGCCACATAAGCCTTTAGACGTTGCCAGATTTTCTTCAATAAAGACCGAATTCACTGGGAAAATTTTGAATATTTTTCCTGAAATCCTCCGGACAATTGTGTTCGCACTTTAATGTAAAACATCTGAGAATTTTAGGGAAACATATAAATTACTTTCCTCAAACATTATTTTCATATCGTGGAAGAATTGACATCGTCTGAGGGTTCCTACGGCGTTTCTCTTAAGCACGGCAGAATAGAACTGCATATCTCCAATGAAAACCCTACGTATATCCGCCGTTTTTTGCTCAGCATACCGGAGCACATTCACAGTTCTTGGCGCCAGAGAAACCCAGCATCTGCAATGGAATACCCTAAGTTCATTCGCGATTTTTTCTCGACTTGCTTGGTCACATCCATAGTCCTTGGCGTTGATAAAAACGCGTGCCTCTAATACGAATAGCTATGCAGATACGTGTTTTTGCTCTCCGCGCCAGAGCTGCACTGAGAGACATAAATAACCCGCGCTCACGCCCAAATTGGGTGCTGAAGTTCAACGAATTAAAATATGTGCGAGTTCCTCGAATACCTCGCACAGTATGTACGATCACCGTGAAAATAAATCCGAGAATTCTGACGGAATGACAGTGACCTAATCGCGCTTTTGAATTCTGATACAGGACGGATAATACTCAACGAGAATGCAAGTGCCAGGATTTGAACTTTTCTACCTCTCAATTGTTATTTTTTAATAACTCCGGGGTGGCAGGGTGTGGACAAAAATAATTCAGAATCAGTACATCCGTCGCTACGGGAATTCACGTATTTTCCTCGGGAAAGGGCGACCCGCACATGCCGGTTATGAAATCATTTTTGAAAGAGGAAAGTTTTCGATTATTCAGTGGCTATGGTCTGAAAACAAATAGTGGATGCAAATGCCGCGCGCCCTTTTAGCCTGTCACTGAGTTGTACGAGAAAAAGTAGACTCAGTATAGAGCCGTTCAACAGAAAGATACCAAGTTTGCGTCTTGGAAATAAATGAGTTAGGAGAAGTCGAGAGCTTAAATTTTTTCCTGTCGAAAATTCAAGGTCTTGAAAAAATATTATGAATAATAAAATAGGCATAAAAATTGAGTCTCGTGGAGGAATTAAACCTCAAACCTCTTTTCCTCCGTTCGATATTGATGTACCTGGATCCAGTGGCAATTTTGCAAGTTGGCAACACTTTTTCCTTCATTTGAATCCATTAAAAATATCGATTTTGGGTGAGGCAAGCTGCCTCACCAAGAATCGATTGTTTTACATACATTTAAATTATGGAAAAACAGTGTTGCTGACTTGCATGAATCGCCACTGCATGGCTCGGTTGGATTCGGTCTATATTCATGCAGAATTTTCACTCATCACTCATTGGTTATTCAACCCTTCTATTATTTTCGACGGCAACAAAAGCACCCCGATTTGACATTTTGTGTCTTTCAATTGTAATTTTTGAGGGACTGTTTTGTAGGTTGACTATAAATAAAAAATTCAACATTTTGGTCGATGCGTGAAAGAGCAGCCAAAAAAACCCCCTTAAAACTTGAAAATTAAACGCTTTCGTACGATGAGACATTCGTCTATCCTATTCTGAAGCATACACAGAGCGCAATAATGATATAATTAAAATAATGTTTTGAAATTATATCTATTCCCTCGGAACAATGTTATCGCGTGCTATAGAGGTCATCCATCATTATGCTTGACAAATATCATTTTCATTTAATATCCAACTGGATAAAGTAGTAAAACTGACGATATTCGCGAGTCCGGGAGTAAGTGGATGGATAAACGAATAAAAATGTAAAATGAAATGACTCCGTACATTAACTTGCGAAAGGTTCAATTGCCGAGTGTCTTTTCTTGGCCGGTTATCTTACCTTGCAACAGACACCGGAGCAGCAACTGACAGTTTGACTAATCAGCTTAATTACTAAGCTAGTGTAGTTGGCTAACTTAATACAGATTATCACAATTATTTTGGCTCATTTTTAGCGAGGGACTGGTTACACGAGGGCCCAGACCATCTAAGGTTGTCAGCTTGCCTCTGAACAGAGATATGTAAAATGAAATTTAACGGAATGAATTTTCATGAAATTTCACATGAAAGCTCATTTCGCTTAGAGTGCCTGTATAGCGAGAGTATGGACAGATCGCTTCATGGAGGTCTTAGGGCCCGAAAGTGCAGCCATCCCTCTAACCAACTTCTACCACACAAAATTTCACTGTCAATCTGCAGAGTCTGCAAATTCCAATTCTAACCAAGATGGCCAAGAATGTTCAGAAATGAGCGTCCTTCCGCAAAAATGAGTAAATTTATGCAAAAACTGAGTCAAATATGTGCTTTATAAACGACGGTTCGTAACAATAGTATTAGTAAATCGTTCTGGATAATTGAAATTCATAGGTTGGCTGCATTCCTGGGCCCTAATTTTATTCGCAGAAGCATCGGTGAAGGCCTGATGGATTTTTGGAGTTTCACATCTGTCCATACTCTCGCTATACATGGTACTCCAATTTCGCTGACAAGTTAGATGCCACTCTCCTCGAACTTTTAACGATTTTTCAGGGGCTACGTATGCAACCTGCATCAGTTATTAAGGAATTAGACACAAAACATCCAAATTTGACTCATGGTTATTTTTTTACAAAAAAATTAATATTTCCCTGTTTCTAACCGTTTAAGGACAAGCTGATTCCATTGCAGAAGTTTTAAAAAATTTCATTACGAAATTTGAATGAAGGCTGAAATAATGAACCGAAAATACGGTTCCTTGAACCGAAAGAGCGGTTACATAAGCCGAACAGTACGGCTGACATTGAAAGTCGTACTTACAGCACATACCATCGAATTTTTTTTCTAAAAACATTTTTTTCCTTTTCCTTTGCACAAGAGTTTTCCTCGATTATGTTGACGCCGCTGCATATGTTTTAGGTCTATTTACTCGGATGATGTTACACAACTTAAATTCATATAAATGTAGCCAATAAAAGATAACCGAGTAATTAAAAAAGAACCCTGGAAATCTGGAATTGCGAGCACTGTTGCCACATATCAACTGAATTCTTTTATACTACGGGAGCCAACAACAAGTATATGCGCACTACGAGGCAACTTATTCCTGAACGCGGCGCCGCAAGTGCCATTGAGGATTCAGTGAGGAGAGGTGAATTTTAATTGCCGGACAAATTGCAAATGGATAGTATCGCGGGAATGGCGTTGCCGCAGCTAACGCAAAATCGAACGAATTTCTATACGAGCAGTGAAAAGGAGATAAAACTCGTCCGGAAAAACGCAACCCTGTGCGGAAACTTTAATTAGGAGCAAGTTTAGTGAGCGTGGAAATGCTTGTAGCGCATACTACGGGATGAAGTTGTCGCTGTAAGTGATAAGTATCCCTTCGCCTTCTCATTGTTTTTTTTCGGCCAAATCCTTGAAGTGTCTTGAAGGGAATGTACATCCCAAAACGGAGGAACTTGGACAGAGGCGAGGGAAGAAGCGCAAGGAATCGCAGATGATCCTTGACACTCCCACTCCCCAATTAGGATCGATTTTCCACAACTTTGTGCCCTTGACCCCGGGTTACCCTCATTTGGCAATGTCGATGTTAGGTAGCAATAGTTTGGAGATGCACCCCCCCCTCCCCGTAAGTGGAGTCCGCAGGGCCTCCACTCGAAAATTTTTCTCTACGTATCCCTTACAGATCGAATTTTAAGTGATCGTAGTTTCAGATTCCCATTCATTCTTATGGCCCGAGCACATCCCATTTTTCCACTCACACATAGTTCCGTTTAGCATAAATTCGTCCATATGTGGCCCTGTCGACTTCCAAAAAAGGAGCCAAAATTCAGAGTGAGGAAAAAGTCATTAAAATTATTTTTTGGCGGGAAATTTTTCTTTGAGTCATCGTTTTGTTTGTCAATTAAAATAATTTGCTCACCAACTGCCAACGGGCGATTTCGACGATTTTGCTGGCCGCGAAGCGGCCCTCGGGGGCTGGCCGCGTAGCGGCCAGATAGCAAACCCCCCTTTTATGCTAAGATGAAATATTTTGTGCGCAAACCCTATGCACATGTCATATGTAAACAGTCCGATTTGACCGAACTTTTTTCCCGGCACAACCGCAGCCGTGCGCAGCAGTCTAGCGGAGACGAACCTTGAGGACGGCGACGGCGACGCGTGGATTTACCTTTAAGCATGGCGTTAAGCGGCGCGGCGTGATCGCGGATAAACGCGGTGAGTCACGGACGCGACTGCCCGGGTCCGCGGCGGCGGTCCGGCGGTGGCGGCGGTCACAATTCGGAAACAGTCCGAAGGAGCCGCGCGTGCCGGGATTAACTTTCCAGTGACGAAACCGAAAGTGTCCGCGAGCCTTCCGCAGCCGCCACCGATGACCGGTCCCTCCCTTTAATTCGCAGCCCCCCGAGCTCCCGAGCTCAATTAGGAGGATAAACCACGCCGAGCAAGTGCTCGCAGGAATTCGCGCGTTCGTCGCTTTTTAACGCGCCTTTGGGAGTTCCGAATTTCCCAGTTCGTCTCACTTCGTCCGCGGCGAGTGGCTCGCATGACAAACGACTCTTCCGACCTGTCCGTTAAGGTAGGAATCTCAATCAGCATGCCCTGTTTACCCACTTTGTACAGCTTTTATTGCAAAGGCTGGTGAATTGTTTAAGGGGGGGGGTGTTAGAAAAGGTTAAATGAGGGGTTTGGAGGATAAAATTCATAAGTGCAGTTTTTTTTAAAAAAATCGAGGTATTAGTGATTTCAACTAAAATTATGTAAGCTTGAAATATATTTTGTGAAAATTCAATGGTTAAATTAAATTTTTAATGTGTCCAAGTTTTAGGGGGGGGGGNGGGTCGTGAGAAAAGGGTAAATAAAGGTTTAGAGGACAAGGTGCATAAGTGCAATTTCCTAAAGAATTGCAATTTTTAATTCTTTGGCCTTTCTTTCCCCAATAAATAGCGTGGACCCAGTATTATTTTACCACCTTGTTACATTCAGTTCGAGCGACATTTTTTCGTGTTTCTTCATGGCGGCATTGTTTGTCGTTGTTTGCTGGCAATGTTTCTTGTTAAAAAGTAGAGATATGTCTGATTTTCAACGGACATTAATTTTGAAATATATTCTGTGGAAATTTACAAAATCCAATTTTTAAGCATAAAATGTGAATTTGAACTTTCTTCCCCTTATAGTTCCCTGTAATGGACCACTAGACAAGGTACGAACTTCAGCATTCTGATACATGTTTCTTAACCAAAATTTCACGTAGAACACGATTCGCACAGCAAAAATTACCGAAATCAACTCCTTACGAAGATATTTAATGATCCTTGATGCGTGAATTCAAACCACCCGCTCATGAAAACTCAATGCTATACGTGATTCACATCACGCCCTGAACGTTATTATGACAGTCTCTGCGATATAAAAATCTGGCAACCTCAATCTTGACGCTTTGGTTCAGTTATAGCAAATTGCTAATAATTTGAACAACACATAGTGGGAAATGAACGTTTGCTCGATTGAGAGGCTCGCTGAAACCGTTGTGGTGCGCAATTTGATTCACGTAGAGCTTTGAGTTTCTTGTGAGCGGACCTTTCAAATTCCTCGTAACCAATGTGCAATAAAAACGTTAATATCTTCCTTAGGAGTTGATTTCAGTAATTTTCGTTGCGCGAATCGTGTTTCGCGTAAAATTCTGGTTAGGAAACGTGTATTAGAATGCTTAAATTCCTACCTTGTCTAGTGGTCTATTTTGAAAAGTTAAAAATGTATTCCCCGAAATTGCAATAAGTGCATTTATACGCCTCATCCTCTACGTCCCTGCTTAGAAGTGATGCACTCTCGGAATTTCAAGAGAGTTGCCCATAACAAACGACTCCACCGACCTATCCGTTAAGGTAGGATTAGCTTGTCCTGTTTACCCACTTTGTGCAGCTCCTATAGTAAACGCAAGCAAATTTTTTTTCTTAAAAAAAAAAAAAAAAAAAAAAAAAAAAAAAAAAAAAAAGAGAGAGAGAGAGAAGGGTCAGTGAGGGGTTTGGAGGACAAGGTACCTACATAAGTGCAGTTTCTTAAAAGAGTGAGATATTGCTGATTTCAACTAAAATCAAGCTTGAAATGTATTCTGTAAAAATTCAACGGTTAAGTCCAATTTTTAAGCATAAAATGTGAGTTTGAATTTTTTTTCCGCTGGATGGCTCGATGTAATTTTGAATCCATGAAATTTAAGTGCCATGGAGATGCAAACGTCGGTCTTGTAAGGCATTTGAGTTTTGAAATGGAAACAAAGGACAATATACCGGATTGTTTCTGAATAGAAACAAAAGGATTGGTGTAGAAAAATGGTTGTATCTTTGTTCTCTGTGTTACCTTATGTTATCCTGTGTTGACTTCGTCAAGAACACGAGCTTTGCAGTATCGACTTCATGTCAAAAGTCGACGTCATCTCGCGAGTGCAGATCAACACAACAACCAGAAATTTCTGAAAGTGTATAGAGACAGACAAAAAGTGCTTTGCAGTCGAGGTTTTTAAATACATTGATTATTATCGACAGCGATAAACCAGCTTTAGGATGAAAAATATCGGATTTTAGTTTTTAGTGTTAAAAGCCTCCTATTGCTCCCAAGAGCATCGGGTCAAAGTTTGAAGGAATTCGCATTAAGTAATTAGGGTGTCATAAACGTTTGAATTAGCCTTTTTTCGAGGGTGGCAACAGTGCCGGCAAAATTTAAACACGTTTTTCTTAGAGTCTCAATTTATAATTCTCCGTCCTTAAAATGGTTCCAAAGTGTCAATTTTTTCTTTAATTTTTGAGTTTTATTTGAGCCGAATGATATAAAATCATCTCCTCTATGCTGCGATGTGTACCACTTTGAGTGAAATCATTGTTGTTTTCCAAGGAGCTTTCCATTAACCATAATTAAATGTACTAAAAATCTTAATTCTCCCAATTATAATTTAATTTTATTAAATTATAATTAATTAAATTTTTCTGATATTATTTTTTTTAGATTGACCAAAAATTTTCGTGAGCTCGGGATTAAGTTTTAAATAATATTTGACATTATTATTACGATCACTTCATTAATGAATGAAGGAAAAAATGATATGTGTAATACTGAATGAGCGTTGTATGCTAGATTTTCCATTTCTTTTCCGGAAAAAATATAACATCCCTGTCTCCTATCAAAAACGAAGAATTGAAGATAGGTGATCAAGATATTCATCATCACCAAGATTAAATTTAAAACAACACTTCCCCATTTTTCTGTTTTTGAATAAGAAGAACTCAACATCAGACAAATGTATTTCCTCTTTTGACTTTTTGCACAAAACGAAGCTGCTAATCTTGGGTGGATATAATCCCACCGCAGTTAATCCTTTCTGTCAGAGCTGTCCGTTATATTTCTTGCAAATGTGGGGGAGACTGATTTGGTTTGATGAATGAAGGAAAAAATATATTATTTGCACGGTATGCTTAAAAAGGTATCACCACTATATAAATAAAGCACCGTGCCGGAAGTTTGAATGACCAAAGGTGAGGTACGCTTTTCCCTCCTCTTTGCGCAGTATGTCAGCGTAATAAATAAAAACTATTTTGTAGTTGGCATGTGCTCCTTTCCTTAATGTTCTGCCGGAAGGTGATGAGTATTAACATACCTATGTAATTCAACGGTCAAAAGTTTACTGTGGCAGCCCTAGCAATATTTTTGGCACAGGACCTGATCGTGCTTCGAAATATAAAAAGATATCAAAATAATGCATGAGGATTATTTACAACGAACGTGCAAGAAGGATTGTGCAAAATTCGATGCGATATTGTTTCCTGTTCTGTTGCCAATTTTGAACACCTGCTGATCTCATGCCTTACATGACCAGCTCAACATTTGACCGTTTGAGCCATTATAATCTCTTCTAAGTAGAAGATTCAATTGAGCATTTGTTATCACAAAAAACAGTGTCGCTGTGAACAGCTGAGCATTGACACACTTGTTGACATTTAACAAACCTTTTTTTATTAAAAAATAAAGAAAGGGTCGGGATGACCGATTATGGCTCTTATTTACAGAGATGAGGCTTAAATAAAATCGTGTGTCCATTGTCCGTGTGGTATGAAATCGTCGTCTCCCGGATGGAAGAACATAAATCCATTCCAAGGTTGCAAAATCGGCTCAAGTAATTAAATTGTTTACAAGAATGTACCTGTGAAAAAAATTTTGCAAAAAAATGTGCAAAAATTGTTTTTCCAAGATTTATCTGATTTTTTCGTCAGTTTGAAGGAAAAATCAATGAAATTTTGAGTTAGAAATCTCCAAGAATTTCCCAGTAAAAATGAAATTTGCGAGGGAATTTGTGGCAACATTGAAATACAGTTACGTTTTTTTTTCGAAAAGGGGATGACGATATGTCTATTGATAGTCGATTAACCAACCGGGAAATCTGACTTGTCAAACACGTCAATTTTGCGCAACTTACACAAGAGAGAACCAACTTCTGAGTATGCGTCAAAAAAAATAGGATAAAATTAAGCAAGAAAAACCGGGGGGTAAAGGACCTCACTGTTATCGCCTNNGGGCTTCAAATCTAGACTCCTTAGGGTTGACTCCCGATTCGCTCCCGCGATCTCCGACCTCAACTAAACCGAGAAAAAGCCTGACACGGGTGGCGCCATGATCTGTGGTTCAGTGCACTGTCACCAGCAAACATGTGGTTTTAAAACTGAGGCGCAAAACCACGTATATACTGGAGCAATCTGTCACAGCCTTTGGGGGATTGCACCAAGAAAAAAGCGACTTGAAATTTGAGGGTTTAGCTGGTGCGCACACGCGAAAAAATAGTCGGTGCTGCAGACAGAACTTTCTGTTCACAGGGCTCCTGCACTTTTGTTGTTAAACGTACAAAACTTTTTTGTTGTGAAAACAGAACTTCGGTCGTGAGGACAGAACTCTGTCCTGACGACGGAAACTTCTATCTGTAACAAAGAATGTGCAGGAGCCCTAGCAACAGAACTATTTTTTTCAGTGAGCGCCACATTCTGTGGTGCATTGCCTTTATTCTTGCCGAAATTCGGAGTAAGGAGCCACGATTTGTGGCTCAGTGCACCATACTGCCGTGCTAAGGAAAAACGCCGTATGAGCCTTCAGGCGTTGCCGAATTTCCTTCGACAAATCACTCGTTGTCAGGAAAATTTGTGAATATTTTTTCTCCGATTTTTTAGAGGATTTTGTCCGTAATTTCATCTAAAAAGTCTGAAAATTTCAATGAGAAAGATGCGTAACTTTCTTTAAAAATACACGTTTTATTTAGGGAAATTTGGCAACTCTCGAATGTTCATACGGCTTTCTTCCTTAGCACGGCAGCATAGTCATATGGGTCAACCGATATTTATTGATTTTTGTCTCGTTAGTATTGGTGAAAGAGGTTTTGACGTTATTAATATTTGGATCTAATTCGATGTAATGGAGTCCTTAAAATGATGTTACCGCTAAAGTCGTCTTCACTACCGTGTTAAGGAAGAACGCCGTATGAACATCGACATCCGAGAGTTGCCAAATTTCCTTCGATAAAATGTTTATTTTTTCGGAACGTTA